TCAGTATATTAATGACGGTAATAGGTCGGGGGTACAAGTGCTAACAGCTTTATCATAAAGGCACACACACACACACACACACACACACACACACACACACACACACACACACACACACACACACACACACACACACACACACACACACACACACACACACACACACACACACACACACAGCAGCACATAATCACTACATAGGCGTCTGTGGCTGTGTGGATAGCACGCTGGACACGTGATCCAGTGGCCTGAGTTCGATTCCCGGCGCCGGCGAGAAACGATGGGAAGAGTTTCTTTCACCCTAATGCCCTTGTTACCTAGCAGTAAATAGGTATTAGGGATTTAGTCAGCTGTCATGGGCTGCTTCCTGGTGTGTGTGTGGGGGGGGGAGGAAAGAATATAGTAGTTAGTAACAGTTGAGAGGCGGGCCGAAAGAGCAGAGCTCGACCCCTGCAAGCACAACTAGGTGAATACATCAGTAATAAAAATGATACCTAGGAACAAGGCAACTGTTGCGTCTTGCATCTTGAGGGAAGGTAACCAGCAGCTGGTCCTCGAAGAACCCGGGTAAACTCAACAATCCTCCTCACCCACTGTAAACCGTAGACTCGACGAAACAACAAACAACAAACAAATTATAATTGCCGCCGCTTGGTTTACTCGGATAACAATGAAGGACTCATGAGAGCAATTTCCCCTTTCACTCATCATTGTGAGTCGCTCACACTAAAAGCTCCTCCTCACACTCTCTAGCTCCTCCTCACACTCTCTAGCTCCTCCTCACACTCTCTAGCTCCTCCTCACACTCTCAAGCTCCTCCTCAAAGGAGGAGCTAGATAGTAAACGAGAAGGTCTTATAACAATAATGAGAGAGATCATAGCGAGAGCGGATAACGATAGATCACGATTGTTGATAGTCGGCGACTTCAACTTGAAATCCATAGACTGGGAAGCATATAAAGCTAAAACAGAAGATTTTTGGATCTGTAAATTGTAGAGCTCATCCTGGAAACATTCTTGTATCAACATGTTAAACAAGCTACGAGGATGAGGGAAGGGGACGTTCCCTCCATGCTAGATTTGATATTTACCAGGAAGGAGGAAGAAATATTTGACATTCAGTACCTTCCTCCCTTGGGTAAAAGTGACCATGTCTTTTTGGGGAATAAAGTATGCAATGAGTTATAATCTGGAAGAAAATATGAAGGTTGATGCAATTGAAAAACCTGACTTTAGGAGAGGACATTACGGCAACCTTAGAAAATTTTTAGTGAGTATAATTGGACAGACTTGTTGCTAGGCAAGGAAATGAATGAGATGTATGTCAAGTTTTGTGAAATATATGATAAAGGCACAACAAAATTTATACCAAAACAGAGATGCAGAACTAGTAAACAGGATTGGTTCAACAGAAAGTGCGAGAAGGCCAGAGACCAAAAGACACAAAAATGGAATCAACACAGGAAGAGGCCAAACCCCCAAACATACCAGTGATACAAAGATGCGAGAAACAACTACACGGCAGTGAGGAGAAAGGCAGAAAGAAATTTTGAAAAAGGGATTGCAGACAAATGTAAAACAGAACCAGGTCTATTCTATAAATTCATAAACAACAAATTGCAGGTAAAGGATAATATTCAGAGGTTAAAAATGGGGCACAGATACACGGAAAATGAAAAGGAAATGTGTGAAACATTAAACGAAAAGTTCCAAAGTGTGTTTGTACAAAATGAGGTCTTCAGAGAGCCAGACACAAAAAGAATTCCATAGATAAACATAGAACATATAGAGGTGTCTAGAGATGAAGTGGAAAATATGCTAAAGGAGCTAAGTAAGAACAAAGCAGTTGGCCTAGATAGAGTTTCACCATGGGTTCTGAGAGAATGTGCATCTGAGCTCAGCATTCCACTTCAACTGATTTTTCAGGCATCCCTGTTTACAGGAGTTGTAGCTGATGTGTGGAAAAAAGCAAACATAGTTCCAATCTACAAAAGTGGAAGCAGGGAAGACCCCCTTAATTATAGACTTAATTATCATTGACAAGTGTAATAGTCAAAATATTGGAAAAAATAATTAAAACTAAATGGGTAGAACACCTGGAGAGAAATGATATAATATCAGACAGACAGTATGGTTTTCGATCTGGAAGATCCTGTGTATCGAATTTAATTAGTTTCTATGATCGAGCAACAGAGATATTACAGGAAAGAGATGTTGGGTTGACTGCATCTATCTGGACCTAAAAAAAAGTTTTCGACAGAGTTCCACATAAGAGGTTGTTCTGGAAACTGGAAAATATTGGAAGGGTGACAGGTAAGCTTCTAACATGGATGAAAAATTTTCTGACTGATAGAAAAATGAGGGCAGTGATCAGAGGCAATGTATCGGACTGGAGAAATGTCACAAGTGGAATACCACAGAGTTCAGTTCTTGCACCAGTGATGTTTATTGTCTACATAAATGATCTACCAGTTGGTATACAGAATTATATGAACATGTTTGCTGATGATGCTAAGATAATAGGAAGGATAAGAAACTTAGATGATTGTCATGCCCTTCAAGATGACCTGGACAAAATAAGTATATGGAGCACCACTTGGTAAATGGAATTTAATGTTAATAAATGCCATGTTACGAAATGTAGAATAAGAGAACATAGACCTCACACAACCTATATATTATGTGAGAAATCTTTAAAGAATTCTGATAAAGAAAGAGATCTAAGGGTGGTTCTAGATAGAAAACTATCACCTGAGGGCCACATAAAGAATATTGTGCGAGGAGCCTATGCCACGCTTTCTAACTTCAGAATTGATTTTAAATACATGGATGGCGATATACTAAAGAAATTGTTCACGACTTTTGTTAGGCCAAAGCTAGAATATGCAGCAGTTGTGTGGTGCCCATATCTTAAGAAGCACATCAACAAACTGGAAAAGGTGCAAAGACATGCTACTAAGTGGCTCCCAGAACTGAAGGGCAAGAGCTACGAGGAGAGGTTAGAGGCATTAAATATGCCAAAACTAGAAGACAGAAGAAAAAGAGGTGATATGATCACTACATACAAAATAGTAACAGGAATTGATAAAATCGACAGGGAAGATTTCCTGAGACCTGGAACTTTAAGAACAAGAGGTCATAGATTTAAACTAGCTAAACACAGATGCCGAAGAAATATAAGAAAATTCACTTTAGCAAACAGAGTGGTAGACGGTTGGAACAAGTTAGGGGAGAAGGTGGTGGAGGCCAAGACCGCCAGTAGTTTCAAAGCGTTATATGACAAAGAGTGCTGGGAAGACGGGACACCACGAGCGTAGCTCTCATCCTGTAACTACAGTTAGGTAATTACACTAAGGTAATTACACTCATAGGTGTAGTCTGGTGGTGTATGAGGCTGTTACCGTCACTCTACCTGTCCCTCATACTCATCTCGGACCTGTCATCTCCAAGATGTGGGTCTGACGTGCCAGAGAGAGAGAGAGAGACGTAGAAAGATTAATAGACACGAGAGAGATCTTTAATCTTTATTGATCAAAAATACAAGTTTTCTTAATGTGAGTAATTCATCTAGGTATTGTTACAGTGAGGTAGGGTTGGTATTCACTGCCACACAGGACAGTGAGGTGCCGCTCATATTCACTGCCACACAGGACAGTGAGGTGCTGCTCATATTCACTGCCACACAGGACAGTGAGGTGTTGCTCATATTCACTGCCACACAGAACAGTGAGGTGCTGCTCATATTCACTGCCACACAGGACAGTGAGGTGCTGCTCATATTCACTGCCACACAGAACAGTGAGGTGCTGCTCATATTCACTGCCACACAGGACAGTGAGGTGCTGCTCATATTCACTGCCACACAGGACAGTGAGGTGCTGCTCATATTCACTGCCACACAGGGCAGTGAGGTGCTGCTCATATTCACTGCCACACAGGACAGTGAGGTGCTGCTCATATTCACTGCCACACAGGACAGTGAGGTGCTGCTCATATTCACTGCCACACAGGGCAGTGAAGTGTTGCTCATATTCACTGCCACACAGGACAGACGAGGATACACAAGACAACAGGCCTAAATTGTAGGTTAAATCACACACACACAAGTTTCACGAGGATACATTCTACTACATCAGAATCTACTACATCAGAATCTACTACATCAGAATTTACTACATTTACATGTTTCACCTCACGAATTTGTAAATGCAACTTCCTATTGTTCACTGCAACACAAGGCAGGGATAGATTCGTGAGATATGCAGTATAAACAAAATATTAATACTAAATCAAATTCTCGTTCTTCATTCTTTATAATGGACAAGCAAATTGAGGATAAATTTTTAGGATGTATTCCAATAAACACTGGTGAACATGAAATATGAGAGAAGGTGATGAGCCCTGCCTGATGGGATCATTTACTATCACCAAATGCCCCTGTTCACCTAGTAGTAAGGGTGTACCTCAGCTATACATACCCATTTCTAATTTATTTAGTTTGGTTTTATTTTGAAAATAAATCTGGGTGAGACAAAATAAAAAGTATGCTGCAAAATGTTGTTAGGTAAGGAGAAGGGTAAAAATGTCAAAAACTTTATTCATTGAATACTTAAAGCTATAATTATGACTATATAGAGCAGGGGTGGGCAACCTTTTTGAGAGTGCCTGCCAAAATCAGCCAAGCCTCTGACACAAACTTTTTCCACGTGCCAACCATTTTTTTTTAGAACATATTTGTTATCTTTTAAGAACTTTTTAAACGAAAAAATAATAAATTACTTCAGTGCAGTAAAACATAGTATAAAAAAAAACTGATTTTTTTTTTTTATTTAACCTTCAGAAGTACATTTCAACAGCCTTTAAGCTTTTGTGACTTTTAGTGACTTTTAATTTTTTTTTAATGACAATATTTTTTTAATTTTTTAATTTAATGACAACACTTTAATTTTGTGACTTTTTTATCAACAGATAAAAAACTTGTTGACTCCTTTTATATACTGTCAGTGAGACTTCTGCTGCTGCATAACTGATGACGGAGATTTTACATCGGGTTTATATTTAGTAACATTGAGAGATATGCATGCAGCGCTAGTTTCATCTGTCATGCTACTCCTGTTACGAGACTTAACAAAGTTCATAATTAAGAACAAAGATTCGCAAGCATATGTAGACGAAAACATGGTTAGCAATGCTGTTGCAAGGTTTTTTAAACAGACATAATTTTTTGGAATAGTATTCCAAGTCCTTAATACTTCGTTTTCCGCATTTCTCTTTGTTACTTTCATCTCTAATCTCTCTCTTTCAATATTTTCCAAGTCAACTCTAAGGTCAACAAATTTCTGCTTCCAAATTAAGCTACTCTGAAACTCAATCAACTGCATCTCAAAATCATCCATATCTATCCATGAAAACATTTGCAAGTTTAGTTCATCCATTTTGAAGCTGTCTGGAAACTTGATGAACTTTACTGTGTCTTCCAGTTCTCTGAATTTGGCAAATCTTGTAGAGAACTGCCGAACTGTTGACTCTATAATGTTTACAAACAACTTTTGAAGACATTTGTGGTCTGTTCTGTCATCTTTTAGATCACTGATGTACCTCTTTAGGTTTGGAAAGTATGTTGTTTGTTGTTAAAGATTCGCTACTTGGAACAAGCAGTTCCAAGTAGCACGGGCTATGGTGAGCCCGTAGGTACTCTAAATCTCTCATTATCTACATCCCTCTTAAAAACTTTAAGCTTCATTTCAAAAGCTTTTATGTAACAAAACATAACATCAAGTGTCTTACCAGCGCCCTGTAACTTAATATTCAATTCATTTTAATGTTCACAAAAATCAGCAAAAAACATCAGTTTACAACCCCACACGATGTCAGAAAATTCCTGGTATGACACTTATTGGTCGTTCAAATAGAGCTTTATCTCATCTATCTCATCTAAGCATTCAATAAATCGTTTCAGAACCAAGCCTCTGCTAAGCCAACGAACATGGTTGTACATTTTCAGTCCTTTATACACAGATTCTCCCTCATCCAGTAGAGTTTGAAATTGTCTTTTATTTAAAGGCCGACCACAAATGTAATTAACAACCTTGGTAACTGTTTGCATCACTTCTTGCAGTTCCTTTAGGCCAGCTTTTGCACATAAAGCCTCCTCATGTATGATGCAATGGAAGCCAATCAGTGGATGACCAACACTTTTTGTAAACAGATTTACAACTCCTGCCTTCTCACCAGTCATGTTTGGGGCACCATCTGTTGTGACGGATACTACTTTTGAAATGTCAATTTGCCGAGTAGAGAATTCGTTCACAACTGTTTTACATATTTCAGCCCCGATAGTACGGTCAGGTAGTGATGCAAGAGCAACCATCTCTTCACATACTTCATCACCCCTACAAAATCTAGAATATATGGCTAGCCTAGCTGATGATGTAATGTCTCTACTTTCATCAACACAAATAGAAAAAAACTTGCATGAAGACAAATATTTTGTCAATTGTTCATCTGTATTTCTTTTCAACTTAAGTATCCTATCCTTAACTGTTTTCCTACTCACAGGCAAATCTTTAATGCGCTGAATAATCTTTTTCTTTTCTGAAAAGTTGTCAAAAAGAAAAGGTGGACATTCTAGCCAAGCTTCTTTAATATACTCCCCATCACAGAGAGGCTTTCCGTGTTGGGCAATAACTTTTGAAACTTCAAAACTAGCAGCAACTAAGTTGGAACTGGGCCTACCTGAAATATAATTCATAAAAGTTTCAGCTTGTGTTTTTGTCTTGCTCAGTTCACGAGAAATTAATTCTCTTTGTTCCTCCTCAGTTTTATTGCTTAAGTTCTTATGAACATTTTCAAAATGTCTCTTTACAGAAGAAGTTCTACAAACAACTGAGTCAGAACAGAAAATGCATAAAGCTTTATCATCGTTCTTAATCATGCCAAACTTTTCAGTCCAGTATTCCTTAAATTCTCTAATATCCTCTTCATTTGACTGACATCGTTTCTTAGCTGGTGGTGGTTACATTCTCTACAATCTGTAAAGGGCATGAAATTAAAATAAGTAATATATTGATATGCATGGAAGAGAAGGAAGATCAAAAGTAAGTCAAACTAGTATATGATGAGTAACTCCAATGAATAGCAATGATAACGGATTGTGTTGTCGTTGTGAAGTGCAGTGACGAGAAATGAATTAGCCTACTTCTACTGAAACGCGAGTATTTAAAGAATTATTTATTTCCTGTTAATATTATAGCACACACAAACATTGTAGTAAAGTATACGTACGTTTATTCTAATACCAATCAATAAGTTTAATAAGGCAATGTTTGAGGTAAGAGTGACGAGACAATGAACACAATAAAAATCTTCAGAGGATTTTTTTTTCTTTTATGAAAATTCGAGGGTTTTCTTTATTTTACATAATTCCAGAAACAACACCAGCAGCCGCTTATCACAAAGACACTACTTCCTAGGCATTGAGTACTTATGCCAAGAGTTTATAAGACTTCACTTGGTGCGATAGACAAAACCCGTTTTTGTGTGTTTGTGTGGTGTGTTGTGGCGGTGTATGGCAGTCTCCGTGGTGTAGTGGTAAGACACTCGCCTGGCGTTCCGCGAGCGCTATGTCATGGGTTCGTATCCTGGCCGGGGAGGATTTACTGGGTGCAATTCCTTAACTGTAGCCTCTGTTTAACGCAACAGTAAAATGTGTACTTGGATGAAAAAACGATTCTTCGCGGCAGGGGATCGTATTCCAGGGACCATAGGATTAAGGACTTGCCCGAAACGCTACGCGTACTAGTGGCTGTACAAGAATGTAACAACTCTTGTATATATCTCAAAAAAAAAAAAAAAACATCGTTGAGTCGGTGACATCTTGCTTATGTCAGCTCTGTTCTTAGGGAGCAGGCGAGCGAGTACGTGTGAATTTAAGGATAAAGACTATTCTTACAATGATATTGAGTTTCACAAAGTTATTGATTTATAAGGGGAATAATTTTCACCTGGAGATGAAGTACTGACCTTTTTCTCGGGGAGGAGGCAAGTGAGCAACTGTGAGAAACACTACGAAGCAAGACTGCGAGAGAGAGTTACGAGTCTGAGATCGTCTGAACATGTGTTCATTACGGGGACTTCATGGGGTTGGAGGACTGTTGATTTCACTGGTTATATTACGGCTGTCAATGGAGAGAAGGGGAGAGCATAAGAATTCTTATCTTTCTTTAGCTTTCGAAGGTGAAGATGCTTTAGATTTAGATAGTAAAGTGAGTTTAATTAATATGCGTCAAACTGAAGTCGGGCGGCATTCAAACACATGAGGTATAGGGGGGGGGAGATGTTGTAGGGGTTTAAATTCAAAGTTTACGAAATTAATTTTTAAAGGTGGGCAGGCATGGCGTATTTTGCCTTCACAGATATGATTGTCAGTGAACACTATGGTTGTGGGTGCAGCCTTTAGGTTAGAAAGGCTTATTACATAAAATATGAGCCAAAGTAAATAGAGGGGAATCATCATACATCGGCATGATCGATGACGTAAAAAAAGAAGGTAACTATGGCAACAAGATTAACTTCTTTTTCTTGAGACTTCTTTAGCTTCGTAGAGCTTAAACCTCTTCACCACCAGGACGTACATATACTGTCATGGCATGTAAGCTTATACCCCAAGGAAAGTAGTTTTTTTTGTCTGTGCTTAGGGTAACATGTGCTTGCATCTGTGCTTAGGGTAACCTATGCTCTTGCGTGCCAGAGACAAGTCATCGGCGTGCCAAGTTTGGCACGCGTGCCAGAGGTTGCCCACCCCTGATATAGACTATTACAAAAGAGAGAGGGAAGTAGGGGTCTAAGACCTCTTCCTGTTATACAGTTTGGGTGTGGAACAAGTAATTATCAAAAGAAGGCACCATGTCGGGAAGGCTATGTAGCAGTAAGGCAGTGAGGTGAGGCAGCTACTTATTTGAGAAATGCTTATTTTATTTACCATATAAGCTGAGGCAACTTATTTTATTTGAGGAATACTCAGCTGATGCCTCTACATTTAGCATGGAACAAATTTGTGTCCAAGACCTCTTCCTGTTACACAATTTGGCTGTGTGTAACCAAACTAGAAGTGCTCTACAAATCAAGGGACCCAGAATGTGGAATGACCTCCCGAATCATGTCAAAGGCTGTACCTCTCTCAACCAGTTTAAGAGTTAAACCAAGTACTGCCTAATTAACTCCATGTAACCTAACTTACCCCCTAAATCTCAACCCATGTCTTGCTATTTTTTAAACAATGCTGTTCACCAACATGTGCAATTGCTGAGTTATGCTATGTTAACCCCCCTTTTTGTATTTTTTATTCCTTCTTTCAACACAATTTATACCTAATCCCGATTATTATTAAGTTTTAGTCTGTGTTTTTTCCCCCACACCTTGCCCGAAATGCTATGAGTATTAGTGGCTTTAGGTATTGTATGTACTAGCTCTGTCTATAAATCCAACATTATGTTTGTAAATCAACTGTATGTACTTTTCATGAATAAAATGTATTTATTATTTATTTTTTAATCAGTAAGTATTAAAAGAAGGCACCAAGCTGGGAAGGCTATGTAGCACCATTGTGTGTAACAATAAACCAAATTTTTTTTTAACAAATAATGCACCTGTATGGTAAAACAAATCCTGTCAGCTGTAAACATATTGATGCAGTTATTTAAATAAATAATATAATGAAAGAAATATTACTGGTTTATTTTTATCCTATCTTTTTGTACTGTACAGTATATCCAAGGAAGTGAAAAATTGAGACATAATGCACAATTTAATGAATGATTAGCATGGATTAGCAGTTCAAGAGAAATATGACTATTACATATCAACATGAGATCTTAATGATCCATGGTCAACATGATATAATTAGGATAATACAGTACTGAATTTGTAATAATACAAACTATAATTTAAAATCTTTATTACTGTTTTTTTTTATTAAGAAGATTAGGTATACACAGCAATGTGCTGCTACCCTATTCTATATGGAATATTACACAGTGTAGATAAAAAACTAGCTATAAGTTTATCTAATACTCTCATCTCACAGGATGGTTAGACATACATGGAATCAATTTAGAAAATACCAGCCTCAATACAAAAAACAAATCAACTCTGACTAAACAACTCTTCGCGATTTTCACCAGAGGTAAGCACTGAATCATGGAAACATTATATTATAATTACTCTCACCAGTTTCTACAAGACTCCTCTCAAACAATGTATTTTTTAACATGTTTAGGTATACACAGCAATGTGCTGCTTCCCTATTCTGTATGAAGGACCACACAGTGTAGATCAAAAACCAGTTACAAGCTCATCCAACATCCTCACCTCACAGGACGGCCAGTCATACATGGAATTAGGAGAGAACAAAATACTTAATGCTGATCTATTAGCCTCCACTGGCAAAATCTGGGTGCAGCACAAGAATATCTTCCAATCTTCCTGAGAGTATGAAGTAATTACAGAGCTCAAAATACCTCATACCATTTGGTATGAAGTCACTGATAACAGGGCAATCACAGATATAGTGTTGGAGAGAATGTTCTCTCAAGTAGGACTGAAAACAAATGTTTTTCCACCAATAGGGTTATAAACCCATGGAACCGCCTACCCGCTGAAGCTATAAATGCCAAATTCCAGCTAAAAAATATCATTAAGACAATTGGCGGGCCCTTTAACAAGCCGCCGGCTTTCTGTCCTCGTCGAGGCCACTAGATAGTTAGTGGCCCTTGGGTAAATTCAGTAAATATATACAATAATTGTCAGCGCATCTTCCGAGCAACAAGGACAGCTACACAGTATCTCTTAGAATTACGTAGGTAAAGAACAAATGTAACATATTTGTTTACTACAATGTCGGTGCTGGCTGTAGAAGTTGAAAAAACATTGTTTTACTTCGAAATATACTAATTTTATAAGAAAATTCGACGTAAATAGGAGGCAGTAGAGCTCCGATAAGCCAGCGCAAAATCTTCAGTATGAAGAATGTTGCTGCTCTCTGATTGGCCAAACGAAACACAGTAGTGACCTCTATCGGCACGCAGGTAAACCAACAAATATATTCCTAAGTGGACGTACTTAAATTGCACCTAAGCATCTTCTTAGGACATACTTAGGAACCTTCGTAGCAAACCTACTTACGAAGAAATACATGGAGCTTCCTGAATCTAGGTCCAGACTACTAATCATGGGAGACTTCGACCACGGGAAGATAGATTGGGAGAACAGAGACCCACGTGGAGGGCTGGACACATGGAGAGCTAAGCTGCTGGACGTAGCAACAAGAAACTTTCTAAGCCAACACATCAAGGGACCGACAAGAATGAGAGGAGACGATGAACCAGCTATGCTTAATCTGATATTTACCCTAAATGAGTTGGATATAAGGGAAGTTAAGTTGGAAGCGCCCTTGGGAATGAGTGATCACAGTGTATTGATCTGTGAGTACCTGGCAGAGCTAGGAATTATCTCCCCCAAAAAAGTACTGGGAAATAAAGGGCTGGCATACCAAAAGGGAAATTATGAGGAGATGAGAAAATTCCTAGTGGATATTCCATGGGACACAGAACTCACAACTAAGTCTGTACAAGACCTGATGGACTATGTCACCCAAAAGTGTCAGGAGGCTGTAAACAGGTTTATCCCAGCCCGACAGGAAAAAAACTAGAAGCAAAAGAAGAATCCGTGGTTTAATAGAGTATGTATGAAAGCAAAGGAATTGAACAAAAGGGCGTGGAGGAACTTCCGAAATAACAGAACACCAGACAGTAGAGAGAGATACCAGAGAACCAGGAACGAGTATGTTAGTGTGAGATGAGAAGGTGAAAAAAAGTATAAAAATTTATAGCTAATAAAGCCAAGACCCAACCAAAGCTACTACACAGTCACATCAGGAGGAAAACAAAAGTGAAGGAACAGATGATGAAACTTAGGACGGGCGAGGACAGATACACAGAGAATGACAAAAAG